GTATTTTCCCATCAGCTAGTGGCCAGGCCAGCCTGGGTTTATGCTTATTTGATGCATGTCAAGCATGTCAGCCATAAATATGATTAGGGTTCCCACAAACACAATGACAGAAGAAGCAATATGGAAGATAAATCTAGGAGGCAGAAGGAAGAATGAACAATTTCAGAAGTAACTTCTCAATTTAGTGAGAAATACCAAAAGAAAAAAGAGACCTGGCACAGTGGCTCACACCTGTAATCCCAGCACTTTGGGAAACTCAGTGGGAGGATCACCTGAGCTCAGGAGTTTGAGCCCAGCCTGGGCAAACAAATTTAAAAAATTAGCCAAGTGTGGTGGAGTGCACCTGTGGTCCCAGCTACTCTGAGGCTGAGGTACAAGGACTGCTTGAGCCCAGGAGGTCAAGGCTGCAGTGAGCCATGGTGGCACCACTGCATTCTAGCTTGGGTGACATAGTGAAAACCTGTCTTTAAAAAAAAGAGGAAAGAAAAGAAAAAGGGAAATGTAGATAAGTAGAGCCTTCAAATACTTAATTCATCCCTTGTGTAGATTTCCAAGAAAAGCCATGCATTAAACCAGGCATTATAAATTATTTAAGTGCCAGACTTGTATTAACTTAATATTAATATGAATGTGTAATACTCATTCTTGCATAATGAAGAAAAAATATTGAGTGAGATAATCTCCAAAATGCCTTCCTCTGATTTTAAAGACTCAAAACGTCAGAAACCTGCTGCCACTTGCAAAGTTTGGGTTTTTTGTGTTTTTGTTTTTGCTTCTTGGCCAGCACACCAAATGGTTTTGAATTTAAAAATTAAAAATATTTAAAGCAGCTACTATAGATTAAATCTTGGGAGCATCCATAAGCAAAACATAATGTATTGGATACATAGGGTACAGATTTTGGTCCCTTCCCAAAGCAACTTGTCAACTGCTTCCTTGTAAAAGTTTGTGAGGCTGGGGCTCTCTGCTTGGATAGAGGCAGGTCACTTTCCAGTGAGAAGAGTGAGACAGAGTAGCCATCAAGTAGAAGCCAATGCACAGAGAGAGAGAGAGAGAGAGAGCCGACCTATCCTCCTCTTTTATTAATAACAAAATGCCAAAAAAATGTGGGTTCCTTCTCCCAACAAAAATATAGCCACTTTCAGGTTACTTCTTACTCAACTTGATTTTATGTTTAGAGAAGGGGTCATACTATGTCACCCAGGCTGGAGTGTAGTGGTATAATCATAGCTCACTTCAGCCTGCAACTCCTGGGCTCACACGATCCTCCTGCTTCAGCCTCCTGAGTAGCTGGGACTACAAATGCAAGCCATCACAACCAATTTTGGAGATGGGGGTCTCGCTCTGTTGCCCAGGCTGGTCTTGAAATACTGGCTTCAAATGATCCTCCCACCTTGACCTCTGAAAATGCTGGGATTACAGGTATGAGCACAGGGACTGAACTCAACGTTACTATCTCAAATGTCTGCATTTAAAGTTGTTTAACTGCTAAAAAGTGAGTCCTTTAGAATGGATTTCCCTATGTCTCTCGAAAGTTAATTTGTTATAGGGCAAACTTAAAAATGGGGATGAAAACTCCTCTAGTTGTCAAACCTGTTATTTCTTTCCACCAGAAACTAAAAATAGTGTACAGGAGCCAATTCCAAACTGTGGTGCTGCCTGTGTACAGCAGCCTGGGCATGAGGTACAAACATGTCCTGGAAATACTAAGTACCTCCTCCACACCGTGAAGAGAGGTCAACAGTAGCCTTACTATAAAGAAACACAGCCAGCCGGGCGTGGTGGCTCACGCCTATAATCCCAGCACTTTGGGAGGCCGAGTGGATCACGAGGGCAAGAGATCGAGACCATCCTGGCCAACATGGTGAAATCCCATCTCTACTAAAAATACAAAAAATTAGCCGGGCTTGGTGGTGTGTGCCTGTAGTCCCAGCTACTTGGGAGGCTGAGGCAGGAGAATTGCTTGGAACCAGAAAACGGAAGTTGCAGTGAGCCAGGATTGCACCACTGCACTCCAGCCTGGCAATAAGTGAGACTGTCTTGGGGAAAAACAAAAAAAACCCTTTAAAATAAATGTTTGGCTACATGCTGCAGCATATTAAAACACCAAGTTAAGCTCCTAGTGAATTAACTAACTACCCTAGTTACCTAATCTATTGATTAACTTGCCTAGACCTTGGAAGGGAACACCTTGAGATTAGGATCCCTGGTGCTTGTGATCACTGTCCACATCAAGCTGGAGAGGAGGCAGGTCTCCACAATCAAGGGCCTCTTTCTCCAAGGGACAGCCATTTGCTTCCTTGAAGGAGAGGTCCTCTGAGCATAAAACACATGGGCAAGAGCGGGCCAGAGGCAGGACACAGAAGAGTTGGAGATATCCTCCTCAAAAATTTTAAAACTTTAAAGTAGTTATCAATTGTTTAAAATTGAGACATGACAGAAAAATCTGAATTGTAGAATTTTTGTTTAAAATAATGAAGGGGGCCGAGTGTGGTGGCTCACGTCTGTAATCCCAGCACTTTGGGAGGCTGAGGCAGGTGGATCACTTGAGGCCAGGAGTTCAACACCAGTCTGGGCAATATGGTAAAGCCCCGTCTCTAACAAAAATCAGTCAGGCGTGGTGGTGCACACCTGTAATCCCAGCTACTCGGGAGACTGAGGCAGGAGAATCACTTGAACCCAGGAGGTAAAGGCTGGAATGAGCTGAGATTATGCCATTGCACTCTAGCCTGTGTGACAAAGTAAGACTCCATCTCAAAAAAAAAAGAAGAAGAGGAAAAGAAGGAAGAAGGGAGAAGGAGAAGAAGAGTGAAGGGATCTGGCAATAATGGGGCTGGGGTGAAGTCAAAGCTGCCTTATTGAAAAACAAGCACATGATGCCCAGTTTGCTGTGACCATGTCTGTGAACACCTACTTTATTTACCATTACTGAACCTACCCAATCCTGTATGACTAGCAGCTTGTGAACAAGGGTAGTAATTAGCCCAGATGAGTCTGAAGAATAATCACACCTGAAAAAACACATTTTTATGCAGGACACATAGCCAGTACCAAGTTTGGTCTGGGCATTGTCTGCCTAAAGCCTATTCCTCCTGAAACGTTTTAGTAGGAAAAATGAAACTGCAAGGGAGAGGCAGACACAATGCTTTCTGATGGCTAACTCAAGCCCATGTGACATAGCCACACAAGTTATGCACATCATCATTTTCATTAGGATCTACTAGACTCTCCATGTGATTTTTTTCCTGGTTTTTAAGATCATTTATATAAATACTTTGTGGTAGGTGTGATCAGTGTATGCTACCATCTGTTTCCACAGATACGCGAAAGCATTGTCGCTTTTCAAGCATTTCAAAACCAAATGGAAAACCAAAGGCATTAAAAACAAAGTGCTGTTAGGGTAAATGGCAAACAAACTTGAGGAAAGAATGCCAGTTTAGAAATCCAAATTCAAATCTGTCTCATACAACTTGGCCATCCAAGATCCTTCTGGATGTGGTGATTGGATCCATTGCAAATATCTACATAGCTGTCAATGACTGGCAGATTTCAAGACTGAACTAATGCTGGGAAAATGTCCATCAGATGATATGATTCACAATGGGCCCGTCACAGTAATATTAAGACAGAGCAACTCTCATTGGCAAAGTAATCCACATGGTTAGGTATTAGAACGAATGCCCTAACTAACCTATGTACCAATGAGAATGCCAGATTGGTAACTATCAAGAGAGGCTTTACTTATTTTGGTTGCCCACCTTGAATGTCAGGGATTATTTGTATGAAAAAGCCATATGGTCACGGAATATTTTAAAATTGGTTGCAGACATAACACAGAAACTTCATTCCTATGACCTCTACTTCATTACTCTAGTTCCCCTGCTTACACTCGTTTATTTGTGGCCACAGCCTTCTGGCAGAACATGTAAAGAGAGGTAAACCCTCAGAGTATGCCATGAGCATTTTATACATGGAAAAGTGGAGAGGCAACCTCTTTTACTGAAACATCACCTATACTCCTTAGAAATCCCTAAAATGACAAGGAGTGTCAGGCCAAACACTCAGCTCTCCTCACAGAAGGCAGGCAACACACTGGGCACTTAAAAAGCATTCGCTGTCGTGTGTGCTTCAGAGTCTAGAGTGCCAGATGCATAACACGACTTAATCACCAGTCTTCCAATATAAATGGAGACAAGTTCTTGAGCTTTCACTTCAGAAGCTGGCTGAATTAAGTTACACTATCTGTATTACAAGGCTGCTTTAAGACACTATAGGATAAAGAAACTAGCTTGTGAATTTGGTCTCCTTCAGCACAGAGACCCAAATATTGGCCATTAAAATGGATGTAGGTGAACAGTGTGGGGTAACCATCATGGTTCCAGGATGGCCAGAAGCCACAGATGGCCCTTGCTCAAGGTTCAAGGAGTGTGTAGACTCTTCCTCAAGGAGACTGTGGTCACTGCCACCCTACATTTTCCAGCAGTGGGGACACCATAACCCCCCCACCAAGGTCTCACTTGTTCACCAAGGCTGGAGTGCAGTGGAATGATCTCGGCTCACTGCAACCTTCACCTCCTAGGCTCAAGCCAGCCTCCCACTGCAGCCTCCTGAGTGGCTGGGACTACAGGTGCATGCCATCATGCTGGGCAAATTTTGTTTTTAGAAACGAGATTTTGCTACATGCCCAGGCTGGTCTCAGACTCCTGAGCCCAAGTGACCCACCCACTTCAGTATTCCAAAGTGCTGGGATTACAGGCATGAGCCACCGTGCCCAGCCCACTACGCATTTTCAATGAAGAGCAAGAGGTAACATGTAATCTCCCATACAAATGTCACTTAATGTTAAAAAATATTCCAAACTATGTGGGTTCTGTGTCAGTGATTTGTCCCCAAGACTTCCATCTAAAATCCTAAAAACAAAATTTAACAAAATAAACCTCATCTCCACTCTAATCAAATTCAATTTGGTGATGCTGTCACCAATGTCAGTTATACGTTACCTGAGGACAGAGGGCTTCTAACTGGCTTGCAGACATTCGAACAAGCTTTACACCTTCTTCATTATTTGAGATGGAACAGGCCAAGTTGGCAACCTATAAACATAAAAAATAATCTTTAAAGATTTTTCTCTTTTGCCTGCTGAGGAAAACACACATACCTGGCCCTACCTCTGACCATTCCAGAACAGATGATGACAGCACCAGGGGTGCCTCCCTTCTTGCAGCCTATTTACTTACACGAGTACACATTTTTAACTCTGCACAAAGCAAACTATACAGATTCATAACATACATCACATTGCAGGTTGGTGCCAAACCTTTTAAGATCCCAGAGCCTGTAACTCACAGGCTTTGCACAGCCTCTAACCTGCCTGAACAGTAACTTCAGAAAAAGTTTCTTCTAGTATGGGCAATAAGGTGAGAAAAGCTGAGGAATAGAGGGCATCAGGGAAGAACTGCTGTTATCCTCAAATAAAAATATGTTTTGCAGTGTTCTTGAAGGAAAGAAATAAACTCTAAGGTGCTATTCTCATTTGACAGGGAATAGATGTTTAACTTAAGGCAAGATGAATTTTATTTAAACTCCATGCAATTTTTCAAATAAAAACAATTACATAAAGACAACATCAAGATGGACCAAAAGCAATCACTATCAAGAGCGGAAAAGGAAACTGATTATGTTCCATAGTTAAGAGCAAAACTGTCCTTCAACTGGATTCTCAAAACATTGACAGCTTGAATCTCTCCTGGCTGATTCGGCTTAATTTGAACCGAATCTTTACGTTCCTGTCCAATCATCTCAACGATACAGCCCATGTACCCAGGGACAATCTTTCCAAGTTGTATCATACTTCCCTTGCTGAAGCTCTGGAATGTTACTGTGTAGCGACTGCTAAGGCTGTGATCACTTATCCATGTTTCTAAATGAACAGGCTTGCCAATTCCATTAGCAATATCTGGGCCCAAATGAATATATGGTACTGAGACATATCTTTACTCCAGTTGCAAACTGAGTTATGAATGATAAAGGCGTAGGCAGCTGAGTATCAGAGGCACTTTCTGGGAAGTTAAATGCTAGAGTAAACAAGGGCAATAGCAGTAACCTTTGATTTTCACTCGTAAACCCAACTTAAGCACATAAACACATCAGAAAAATTATACACTATTATGACAGTTGTTTGTAGTGTTACAGCTAAGGATTATCAGCTTTCAATAAGACTGCTAACTACCAGAATCCTACAATGCCCAAACACAAAGAAACAAAAGAAGTTAACGTGCCATTTAAACATAAAAATGTAAGGGAACTGGAAAGTCAGATGTCTAATGTTTATGAGTCCTTCAAAATCATATAAAGAAGCAACACTTATACTCCCTGAAGCTTACAGTTCCACCTTCTCTGTCATCTGGACCCAAGCAAAGAGACGCTTCTTTTCAAGATGACAATCTACAGAGATGACTGGGGATTTCTATGTTTGTTTAAAAAAATCACTGCAAAATATGACCTAAGATAAATTTTGTAAAATGTTAAGACTTAAAAAAAAAAAGGAAATAAAAATATTCATTGAAGGAGAAAGCCTGAATTAGATGTATTAAGGAAGAGAAACCTACAACTTCCATTGCTTCACTGCCTTAAGACAACATTTTGAACAAACATAAAAGTTGATGATGATCACTGGAAAAACTAGAATTTCGGGACTAACAAAGATCCCTGGTGAGGTGCCCAGCACCCTGCCTATTCCCATCATTTAGAAGGGCAGCTGAATGTTGGATCCAGGACAGTCAAGACAAGCCTAATCTTATTTCAAAGATTCTATATTTAGAATTCTACAATTAGAATTTAGAATAGAAAATATTTCTGTATTCTCAATCTTATGAATCCTTAAAACTCAGAAAAATATTTAAATTAAGAAAATATTTTTTTAAAAAGAACCAAAATATTATATAAGTACTCTCTACATCAGACACACGATGGTAGTGTGTGGCTAAGGCTTAAATGGCTGATTCATTTAAAGCATCTTTTCTGTTTCATGATTACAAACACCAGCAAAACAAAGGTTATGGAAGTCTTCTTCTTTATTTTAAAACATTATTTAAAAATATTTCTGGTGTACTGTTGAAACAGTAATGTTCTGTGAGAGCACACTGCCTATTTTCAGGAGACCTGGGAGGAGGAAGGAGCGCCTGTCACTAACAGTCTTCTCCAGATGAATGGGCTTCAATTCACCCCCCAGGGACAGGGCTACTCACTTCTAACAATGACGAATGTGCAAATGCAACATCAAGACCACAGCTCTCTGAGAGGCTAACCTCACATACTAATGTCAGGCCTGACTACAATTAAAGGAGAGGGTAAGAAGAAGAGCTTCCTAAATGCTTCTTTCTGTGGAAAATCTGGGGTTCTAGAATGAAGTGACAATTAACAACAAGACTAAAGAAGATCCTGAGGTTAGAATGAGAAACACTCGGGGCTGGGTGCAGTGGCTCCCAGTACTTTAGGAATCCAAAGCAGGAGGATCATTTGAGGCCAGGAGTTTATGACCAGCCTGGGCAACACAGCAAGACCCCATCTCTATCAAATAAAAAAATTTAAATTGGCTGGGTATGGTGTCATGTGCCTATAGTCCTAGCTAATTGGAAAGCTTAGTTGGGAGAATAGCTTGAGTCCAGAAGGTCGTGGCTGTGGCAAGCCATGAGTGGGTAACAAAGCAAGACCCTGTCCCAAAAAAAGAAAAAGGTCAGGTGCGGTGGCTCACACCTGTAATAACAGCACTTTGAAAGGCTGAGATGAGTGGACTGCCTGTAGTCAGGAGTTGGAGACCAGCCCCTGGCCACACAGTGAAATCTCGCCTCTACTAAAATTATAAAAATTGGCCCAGCATGGTGGCACATGCCTATAATCCCAGCTACTTGGGAGGCAGAGGGTGAAATGAGCTGTTATTGTGCCATTCCACTCCAGCCTGGATGACAAATGGAACCTCTGTCAAGTGGGGGAGGGGACAGAGGAAGAAGAACACTTGGATCAGTTAACTTCCACAGACAACCTAGCAGAGTCAAGACTTTGTAGAACAGTGAGAAATATCTCTGGATTTGTTAGGAGAATAAATTATCTTTGCTACCAGTTGCTTGTATTAGCAACTAAAATGTCTCTGATTCCCACTATTCGAAGAGGTGGGCTGAGACTGACACCACAACCTCTGTTTGACGTCAGACAACCCTCTTTTGTACCATCTGTGCCTACTGTGTGGAAGTTTGGACCCTGTGGAAGAGTGGGTTTCAGAAAACATGCAAACACTCTGCCTTGGGTTTTGCTGGTCTCAGGAAAACCCAAGCTCAAGTGTGAGCCACTGAGGAAGACTCACAGCCCCACTGTGTCAGATTCACATATGAGACACCTATACATGACAGACAGCTTTTTCAGTCTTTTAGGAAGGCTCTACCTTTACTCCACAACTGATGATCTTTACTTAAATAAAATTTGTTAAATGAAATTTCATTTAGGAAAAAAATCCCATTATGACTTTATTTCAATCCTCTCCTGTAACCATGATGACTATTTTCCCCTACTGTACATAGATTTATGATTTACTGAACTCAAACACAAGTTGTTTCCTACTTCCTTCAGTAACTGCTCCTGGATCCCCATTTGACTGAGTTCCTCTTACCCTGGAATGTTTGTAGGAAGACAAGAAAAGATTTCTTTTTGTTCTTGATAATAAATTAATCCCCAATTCTCATAACAGCTTATATCTGTTGTAGGAGTAAACAATTAAGAAAAGATGTGGGACAGGGAACTCTGAAGTCTAAATAATAACCCACCAATGCAGCAGCAGGCCAAAGGGACAGAGCTCAAAACATACATCTCTTCCCTTGTGCCCCTGGGTCAAGCTAACACCTGCGTTTTCTTCTTTAAAACACCTGAATGCCTAAGAGTCAAAAATAACAAATCAAAAACTCAACTTTTACAAACTTGTCGTACATAAAGTGAGAAGTCCCAAATACAGGTCATATACATTTCAAAGCCACTCAAAAAGTTTTTAACAACTACTTCCAAACCCACAGGGGAAATGACAATAGGCACCTTTCCAATTTCCAGGGAAAGGTGTTGGTGATCTTGTTAGGTACAACAAGAGATCTTACAATACTAAAAAATGAAGTATACACTTCATTTTTTATAATAGAAATATTATAAAATATATAGATATATTTTACATAGATAAATATATAGATAATAGGAAAATTCTACAAGTAGATTGTGGTGATGGTTGCACAGTTCCGTAAACTTACCAAAATCTGAATTGTAATCAGTAATTTTATGGTATGGAGATTATGCTTTAACAATGCTTTTCCACTTTTTAATGCAGAGCTAAGCAGGTGAGAAATTAAGAGAAATTCTCAGAGGCTAGAAAAGAGAAAGCAGAACTTCAGAGAAGCAAGCAGTCACCAAAAACAGTGTTCTTCTGGTGGCTTTTGGGGGAGGTACTATTTCATGATGAGAACTTGGGTTTTTAATGGGCCAAGGCCAGGTCCCTCTCAAGGTAGATGCCTCAGATCAGAGACTTTGCACAGAGATGGAACAGGCAACAATCCTAGTAAGTCATCAATCCTAAGACCTTTCTTGAAAGTCCACCAGGAAAAGAGTAGGGTATTTGTCAGTCTAAGCATTCATTCGCTCGGGGAGGAAAAGAAGAAAAGGCCCCTATACTCCACTCCAAATTCTAATCAGAAGCTGGCCTTCTGCAGGGGTTTAGGTATAGCAATTATGTTATCTAAATAGTCCAGACAACTTTTACATTTAAGTTGTCATGTATTAGCAGTACCTCTAAGCAGGTGGCAGAAGCAAATATAAATTAAAAATTTCCCTCATGGAAGGTAATGTAAACACAGGCCTCAAAGAATTCCCACAACAAAATTTCAAGAATATGAATTCACAAATTAAAAATAAAAACAGAACGTATACAAGGAAATGAGCCATCCTGGGCAAGAGTAAGTAAAATCACCACCTGTGTAATCAGATCCATAATGACGCAGATACTCAAAACAATTGAAAATGCAATATTAAAAACATATTTATCTTAACAGAAGAGTACAAATAA